ATATATATATATATATATATATATATATATATATATATATATATATATATATATTTAATTTAATGTAAATTAATTCTGCTGTTCTGTTTGAGAAAACAGAACATTAGAGTTAATATATGTCTAAAAAGTCTATATTTTTTTATATATCTATTTCAATAGCATACAAGGACATTTTTTAGGAAGACTATTTAACCTAATTACGTATTTAAACATACCATCCATCCACGGCTAATCTCGCCATCATCACCCTTGAATCCCTTTGTTCACGACAAACATAAATCGTGCGTCGATAACGTGCTTCATCTGGCCACCACGTCTCAATAATGTGTGTTTCATTAATGAAAATGTCCGCTTCAATATTAGCAGTATTGATCCACTCTCCATACATGTCTTCAGGTAAACGGCAGCCTGGTTCGATTAATTCAGACTTAACTGGAGTAATCCTCAAACGTTCAGGACTCTTCTCAACTGTTTTAAGAGTGTTACACTCTGCGGTAATAGATACACCAATGTACAAATCGTCGTCGCGATTCTTTAAGAAACATCTGTATTTCTCGTCTTTCCGGGATTCCTTTGTATTTGCTACAGCGAAGAAGTGATTCTTGTTCACAAACCAATCGCCCAAACAACTGTATTCTACCACTAAAACAAAAACAAGATAAGATTATTAAGATCATTCAGATTTTTGTTACAACATGTCGGGATATATAAACACATTTTGCAAGCTAAGTATTTAATAAAAAAAGGAAAATATGTTACATCCATCAAAGGTCCCCTTCATCCCAAGACATTTTTTGTAGGTAATGTTAAATTTCATATTAGTTATGAGAAATTGAGTTCCTGGAGTTTGGCAAGATTTAATTTGCGCATCTGGATGATTACATTCGCCCGTAAATCGGAATCGGTTCTGAAAAAAATGATAAGGTAATAACAGATTTATTATAGAGAAGTTTTATTAATGTATTATCTTACCTGATAAGCAAACTGCCAGACTCCTTCCAAAGATGACCTACAGTTCACAGGTGAATAATTTTCAGCAAATAATGTTATCAGTTGCTGATTTGCATTTAAACCCTTGCAAACATTCTGCACTGTGGGTTCCATGTCACTGGGAACATTCACACAACTTACTGAAATAAAATGTTACAATAAAGAAAAATACTTAGGATTCTAAGTTTTAGATAAATAGTTTCTTAAAATAGGTAATAGACAGATTTATGTGTTACTTGCCTTCAAGCTTTTCTATGACATTTATTGTTCTGATAATAATTTTTACACAGTGATAACAGCTGTTGTTTATGGTTGCAGCTTTAAGATCACGAAATACAAATGTATAATTAGCATTATATTCATTTAATATATCTACACATACACCCCGTCCAGTCATGCTAACATCATTCATTTCTGTTAAAGTATTTCTTCCATTTTCCCATGAAAACCAAATTCCTCTCACAACTAGTGGAATTTGGCATTGATGTTTATTTTCAGCTATAACAGCAACTGTTGAATAATATATATCATGTTATTAACATCAATAAAATTATTTTTCAAGTATACTTCACAATTTCCCAGATAGCAAGGTGATGTCTAAAGATGTCATTAAGATGTCATTACGACGTCACAGACATAATGACATCTTAATGACATCTTTAGATCTCACCTTGCTATCTGGATTACTATGATGATAAATTTTATAATGATTATGTTACTATTGCTTTACAAGTATTATAAATATAAGTTCATATATTGAATAAATTTCAATAGAAACAAAGAAAAA